TGGGCTTCGGTGCAGTGGTGCACCCCGCCGCCGTCCGTGCGTCCTCTCGGCCTGCCGACCTCGTCGTCCGCCTCGTTCTTATTTCCTCGCGCCCCTCTTCACTCCTCCTCGTTCCCCAGCTTCGCTCCTCCTCCTCCTCCTCCTCCTCCTCCTCATTCTCCTCCTCCCATTCCCCTCCCTCCCCCTCCCTCCCTCCGCCCCCCGCCTGCTCTTTCCTCCGTCCGTCCCCCTCGTCCTCTTGACTCCGCCTGCCTCCTCCTCCGCCTCCTCATCATCCCTTACTTTTTGTTTCCTGGCCCCTTCGTTCCTCATCCCCTCCCTCGTCCCTCTCCCACATCCCCCTGCTTTTTTCCCCCACCTCCTCCTCCTCCGTTGCCATTTTGGCTTGAGCCATCTGGGCTCAACAGAGGGAATCCGAGTTGCCAGCGCTCCTCTTCGGACGGGCCAGGCGTTGGCGAGCACTTTGGTTTCTCATCTTTCCAAGATTTTCAACCATGGGAGGACCTGCTCTATGGACCCGTGCTCGGTGTGCTGCGGCGGCTCGCCAGTCTTCCTGGAGTGTTCTGTGGAGGTCTTCTTGGCGATCATGGCAGGACGATGGCGGCTACCCGCCCTCACGGCCTCAGCCCAAGTCTGTGCGCCAGAGCTCCAAGTACTCGTGCAGCAAGAAGCTCCTTCACTTCTGGCTGTGGAAGCATTGCGGCACCGTCAAAAGCAAGGCGAGTGCGCCAGACCGCGTTCCGACCTCGCATGGTGGTGCACCAAAAGACTGGCCTGCCCTTCCTATCGCTCCATGTCCTGCTCCTGCTGTTAATAATCCAGGTTCGGATCTTTAGCAAAGTGTGGATCTTACATCCAAGCTGAGAGGTCAAGCGCTGGTCAAGTTTATCAAGGTCGAATCAGTGAGCGGCGTACAGCGTCCATTTGTGAGCCCCCTATTCAGCTTTCAGATCGCGTCAACCCACAAGCAGTGCAAGCTGCTCGAGCTCAAGCTGGAGGAGGAACCTGACACAATGGCCATGTGGCACGAAGCAATCGCGAACAAGGAACAGGATTGCATCAAACTCCGCAACGAGCTCGAGACTAAGGATGCCATCCGCCGCAATCTCGTCGACAGGCAGCACACGGAGGCCTGTCCTGAGCCAGTTGTCGAGGGTGTTGCTCGCCCTTTCTTCAATACTCGCGAAATGGCTGCAGGCTCCCCTGACCAGCTCAAGCTCGACATCTCTGTCCGAAATTTTCACTGGCCAGGACGAGCGCGAGATGTCGGAGACCGACCAGAAATAGATCAGCAAGCGCACCGCCATCTTCGGTGTCGCTATCAAAAACATGGACCAGATCGCGCCGGCCCTGAAGTTCACGTGGCCAGACTGAAGAAGAAGCGGCACCTGGGCCATGACGACCTAGACACGCAGCCAGCCCCAGTGGACCTTGTCCAGGTACATGCGGCAGGAGGTTACGATGAAGTCGGGCCTGTCCCTCTACAGGGGGAGTATCTTGAAAAAGTCGTACAACACTTGTCTGGGGACGTTTTTTTGGTCACTGTCTGCTGCGAGCCTCGGGCTTGCTCAGCGGAGTGTGCAATATCCACGTACGACGTGGAAGAAAATGGAAGGATGACTGATTGGTGCCTTCTCTTCAGCACTTCTTGGCCTTGAGTCAAAAAGTCGATGGACAACGGGCGCGTGCAACGTTTCGCCCGCATCTCTCGCTGCATGCTACACCCAGTTGCTATCCCACATGATGGGATAAAATATTGTGCTATACTACTTTTCTCAGTCCCAAGCTCGCCAGCCCATGTTGGGCCACCCAGCATGTAAACCAAGACTGCGTTATCCCACATAGTGGGATTGATGTTCTGTAGCCCAGAGACGCTGTAGATGCTAGCATCCCTCCTGGGGGCATCTCTCCACGAACTGGAGAGTGTCTCGTGCTATCTACAGCTGCATCTACTACTGCTGCTTCTCGCCGCGCCGGAAGATCACCGTGGCTCATGGCCCATGGGCGCTGTGTGCAGGATAGCAACCACGCCTAGCAAACACACATCCGGATTCCCTGCGTGATCTGGCCGATGTGCACGTGCATCCCCGGCGCTGCTGAACTTACGGATGCCAAGTCCCTTCTTTTGATACCTTATGATATTCGAGCGTTGCCTTGTCCGCGTTCGTGGTAAGGATGTCAACGGCATTCTCTTCGCGCCTACTTTGATGAGTGTAATGCGCCCGCGCCGCACGAGCTCCTGCAAGAATAAGTACTTGATCTGCACGTGCTTCATCAGCTTGCCGAAACCCAGACGGGACATGGATGAGACCGCGGTTGCACTGTCTGACTCGATGCCGATCTCCACGTCGACCTCCAAGCCCATATCCGTGAGCATCGACTTGAGCCCAAGGCTCTCGGCCGCGCAAGTGCCCATGGCGTAACCTTCAGCCTCGCCAGCGCTGGCGGCCGTCGAACCCTGCGTTTTGGACATAAAGGCCACGAGACTCTTTGCCCACGTGACCACTGCCCCGGTCGTAGACTTCCGGTCGATCAGGTCCTTGGCCCAGCCGCTGTCGCACAATCCTTCGATCTTGTGCCGGTACTCCCACTGCGGACGCATCATGGTGCCGACGTGCCTCGTGCCGATGGCGCAGCGCGTCCACCTTTTGAGTCTCCGCATGTCTCCCTCGGCTGGCGTCTGCATGCCCCTTGAACACTCCTTCGACGCGTGCATCATGTCGGGCCTGAACTGCGCGATGAATAGAGCTGTTCCCTGGGCGCGCCTGAACAGCCGCATCTCGTCGTGGGCCAGCTCCTTCTCGCCCTCGCGCTCGGAGTCGCTCTTATCCCCTGGGGCTACGACTGCACTCCCATTCTTAAGTCCTACCATGCTGAACAGCGACTCGTAGTGTTGAGGCAGGCATTGCTGGAAGAAGCCCGTGGAATAACGCGCGATGAGACCGCCCAGGTACTTCTGCGCCACGCCAATCTCCAAGTACTCGTTGACCTTCAGCTGGAAATACTTCTGGAGGTCGTGCAGAAAGTCCTCCATAGGCTCCTCGCCTGCCACGACGATCCCATCATCGACGTGCTTGACCATTTTGACATCGTCGTTGTACCATGCCGCTGGTCCGAGACACACCTCTTCATGCTCATGGCAGGGTAGCCGTCGAAGGTCGTTTGCCCCTGGGCGATATTGTCGAAGTGGGTGTCGAGCTCAACCATTGCCTCCTGCTTTAAGGTGCACCGCAGGTGCCACACTTCGCGTCGTTTGGGTTTGGCCACTCTGGCGGTGGCTCGATCCACACATCTTCCTGGATGGGTGGATGCAAAAATGCACGATGAACATCGAATATCTTGACCTTGCGATTGTAGAGATGCGCATAGATGAGCATTGCCCTCACTGTCACTGGGAACGGCGTCGGCGCGTAGAGCTGGCCCTTCGTCCTGGCCTTTGCTTTTTCAAAAGGTCTAGCGCGCAATCTCGCCTTCCATATCCCGCTTCGTTTCTCTATGACCAAAACCAATTAAAGTGGACGCGTCTTCGCGTCCTCCTTTGGCACTGCCCAGTGCACGGCATAGTCCTCCAACCTCTTGAGCTCGTCGCCCTTGATCTCCATCTCCTTCCACGGGGTGAGCTTGTCCGCCCAGGCGTCCTGCAGCTCTGACTCAACGTCGTCCGGCTCCTCCTCGTTGCGGTCGAGCTCGGCGATCCTCCGCTCGATGGCCGAGATCACCCTCTGCCTCTTGGACGTCTCCTCGGCGTCCGCCTCAGGCCGCGCACGGGTGGCCGACGCTGCGGCTTTCGCCCGCAACCGAACCCGCTTGGCTTCCGGGTCGTCTGCGTGTGCATCTGGCTCTCTCTGGGGCCCGACCAATGGCAGCATGCTCTGGTCGACGCCGCTGCCGCCGGCTGATTTGCGGGCGCTGCCGCGGACGATGGGGCCGCGCCTCCCGAGCTAGACGACGCCTCCTGGGCAGGTTGGCCATCGCCGGGAATCGACTGCTGCTCTGGCGCTGGCGGAGTCTTCTTCAGGCTGCTGAACAATGCTGGATGGGGCAACTTGATCTCCTCCAGCGCGAGCTTGAACTCGGCGCCGCTCTGCGCGTCGTTGCAGGCATGCCCGCGCGTCAGTACGCGGTCGTGCTTCCTCTTCACATGCCTTGCAACCTTCGGTCGGCGTCCACGGCCCCGCCTCCAGGGCCGTCGGCAAGTTGCCCACTTCTCTCTTCTCTTTGATGTGCCAAGGAGTCCAGACCATGCTCTTGAACAAGGTAATGTCCCATCGTCGCTCTGCAGGTAGGGCTCGAACCGCTCGGCATTGAATAACTCCAACCCCGGTTCCGACGAAATGGTCTCCCGATACAGTACTTCAGCCCAGCCATGCGCCCTCCTGCCACAGCGGGTCGAGGCTGGCCTCCACCGGATGCGGGAGCTTGCCAATGACGCACTCCCCAAATTCCAGCATCACCGAGCTGAACCTGGCCATCTTCAGCTGCTCGTACGGCGTCCGACCTCCGCGAAGAACCTGGAACCGGTTGTACACGTAGCCGCTGTGTCGCACCGCCCACGGCACGATGGCCGCGCCGAGTTCGATCTTGATCCCGTACTCCTCCTGCAAGGCTAAGAGGATGGTTTTGAGGGTCCCCTTGATGATCTTCACTGCGACCTCCGCCGCGCCGTTTGACGCATGAGAATGTTCTGGGCTCCTCCGCATGGCGATAAAGTCCATGAACCCCTTGTTCGCGCATGCCGCTCGCACCTCCTGCATGAGAGCGATGATGGCCGGCTCGCCATCAGATTGCGCCTCGATCCGCAAGTGCCCGAGCTCCTCCAGGAAGGCCACGCACGCCCGGACGCTGTACTCGTCGGCCCCCTTGGCTCGGACCATCGTCGCGCCGATCATGCCAGACGAGGTGTCCATCATGTTGGGGAAGGGTACGCATTGGTCTTGCTGCGAACTCGTCGTATTGGGCTCGTCGAGAAAACTAGTCGAACGCGACTAAGATCAGCAAAGTCACTCGAAGCTGCGCTCGTCGTACATGAGGCTCATCTTGGGCTCGTCCTGATACACAAAACCTGCACCAGGCTGCAAAAGGCACCTGCACCTGGACGTCGCATCGTCTCAGCGTCTCTTCGCCTCCAGGCACCTCGGGGGCATCGCCCTGGATCACGTCCACGTCCCCGAGCTCGTGGCTGGCCAACTGGCTCGCGTCGAAAAACTGGTTCTCGATGCGCACCAGCATAATGGCACCCGGTGGCACGGCTGTGGGCCCCGGCGCCATCCAACTGGATTCCCGATGTGAACCTCGTAGCCCGAGTTGTCGATTATGTCCGCGACTGCTCGGACGGGCTGGCGCACGTTGCCGACGAGGTACTTTGCCTGTTGCTCGTAAGCCTGCCCGTTCACGTTCACTCCGGTGGTCGTCACGGTCACACGCTCGTCGATGTCAATGCGCTGCCCTGTCGCCGCGACGATGTCAAGCTCGTTGCCGATCTTCTCATTGGGCGCCCCAGGCGCAAAGCTCCTGGGACACGCGCTGTATTTGGCGCCGCTGTCCACCATCACCCGCACCTCAGGCTGGAGCACCGCCACGTCCTCTGCATCTACGCCTAGAAGATCCACCCGTCCTCGGGGTCGTCCGTGTCTATGGCTGCATTGGTCCTCGTCGCTGTCGCCGACTGGAACGCAGCTCCAGCTGCAGGCGGTGGCCCCGCAGCTCCCCGTGCTGGGGCCCCGGCTGCCGAAGCAGCCTGATCCACGGCTCTAATTTCCATCTGTCTGGGCCGATTCCTGCACTCCGACTTCTTGCGCCCCCATTTCCCACAGTAGTAGCAGTGGCCCTGAAAACGATGAGCCTGCTGTTGTTGGCCTCCCTTCTGACCGCCACCACCATCCTTTTTGCCCCTGCCGCCCTTCGGCTTGCCCGTGTCCTTGCTGCTCTTGTCTTTGCCCTTGGGGTACTTGCCGCCTTTCGGATAACCATCCGGGTCGACAGCGCCCACGTCCATGGGCGTCGCCCCGTCGGTGATGGCCAAGCTGGTCATGTAGTCCACCAGGGTGTTCCTCAAGGCGCGGTAATTCGGGAACGTCTGAAGGATGACCTGCTGCTTGAGATTGGCCGGACTGTTTTGTTTCAGGATGGATTGGAGGAGAGCGTCGCCCACGATCTCTGAGTAGGTCTGCTCGTACCTGCGAACCTCTGCTTCCAGTTTCCCCACCTCGTCCTGGAACTGATCCGCTCGGCCGTTGAATATCGTCTTCAGAACATTGGTGAGCTGAGCCGCCTGCACTGAACCCGAGGTCGGGTCTTCGCGTTTGCACAGCAGGCGGTACGCCTCGATGCCATTGTGCGACTCGGTGTTCATCAAGAGCCTCTTCGTCGATCCCTGGAGCACACCGTTCAAAATGTACCTCCTCCGCAAGGGTTGCGAACTTGATCTGGCCGTCCATTCTCTCGGACCTCTCCATCATGTTGAAAAGCTGCTCGTTGATCGCACCAACGTAACTCTTCAGCGTGAACTGGAACTCTGGCCACTCCGCTTTGTTGTTGCTGTAGTGGCTTGGCTTGCCCAAGACACGAGTGTCCACGATGGGCGCCGCCGTAGGCCACTCCGAGGATCAGAACAGTAGCCCACGCTACCATGCGAGCCTCCGGGCTCGCTCAGCGGAGTGTGCAAGATCCACGCACGATGTGAAAGAGAATGTGAGGACGACTGACTGGTGACTTCTCTTCAGCACTCTTGGCCTTGAGCCAAAAAGTCGATGGACAACGGGCGCGTGCAAAGTTCCGCCCGCATCTCTCGCTGCATGCTACACCCAACTGCTATCCCACATGATGGGATCAATGACTGTGCTATACTGCTTCTCTCAGTCCCAAGCTCGCCAGCCCATGTTGGGCCACCCAGCATGTTAATGCACAAGACTGCGTTATCCCACATAGTGAGATTGATGTTGTGTGAGCCAGAGACGCTGTAGATGCTAGCATCTGCCCTTGCTTGTTTTTTTGTTTGTCCCTCCAAAAAAAAAAACAAGCTCTAATTTTTCGTCGAACATCCGCCTGTAGGGGGACATGCCCGACATCAGGTTACGATGCTGGGGCCCTTTCGGTGCATTCCTCGGGCCCGGCTGGAAGCGGGGATCCTCCTGCGGCCTCAGCCCCTGGCGCGGCCCAGGGCCGGGGCAGCGACGCGTCCGCCGCCTCCAGAAAGTCTTCCGTGCGGGAGCACGCCCGCTGCCTGGCCGAGACCAGTGCGAAAGGGCAGCCAAATGTCCTCCCAGGAACGAGATTCTTCCCGAATCAGTTTGTGCAGGATCGGTCAGAAGCTCGGGTCTTGTGCACCTAGTCCGGTCGTCAAAACGTTGTGCAACTCCAGGCCCGCGACACGACGGTGCTGTCTGGGTCGTCTTGGGTGCCGTTACGGGTGTTTCGCTGTAGGCGGATATGAGATTGCATATGACTTGTCCAGTCTTAGTTTGTGCCCTATCTGTCCGTGAGTGTCTTCCGTCCCTCCAACAAGGATAGGGCGATGATCCGATCACCACGGTCCTTATTTCTCAGTTCGCCTCCACATTACGATAGTCTACTCAGCGTTGCCCTAGCCATTGAAGCACTGCATGCCACGTTCAATGCTCAGCGTGCGGCTGGGTCGTACGGTGCGCGCTCTGCTTTGTCTCTTGTTCAGTTTGCGTGCCTAAGCACTCCGACGCAGTGCAGTGCGGGCCCTGTTTCGTGCTGTCCGAGACGCGGGGTCGGGATGATTTCTCCCAGGTCGCACCATGCCCCCTCGTCCTCCTCATCCTCCTCCTCGTCTTTTTCGGTCTGTATTTAGTTTCCAAATGTTCTTGTCATCCTTCTCTTCCTGTTCTTCTCCCGCCGTCGTCTTTTTGTCACTCCCCACTCCCCTTCCTGCCAGGAGGTCAACGATTGAATCGATTCGCTCACTCCGCAGGCACATCCTGCACGTAGTGTTTAGTGGCCTTCGACCAGACTTGGTCTCGAAAGAAGGGCCCCGTTGGGAGATTTGTTGCGGTTTCTTGAGAGGCATCTCGGGGGCCTCGTGGCGGCATGTTGTGGCCTCTTCCTGTTCGTCCCTCAGCGACGTTTTTTTTCCGAGACACATTGTCCCTTCCTGCCAGGAGGGCCTCCGGAAGCTTCCGGAAGCCTCCGAGGACCTCCTGGGGACCTCGGACGACTTCCTTGCGGCGACCTTCAGAGGTTGACGTGCTTGCGCTGGGGGGATCTATACCTGGCTCCCTGGGCAATCGAGTGGTGTGTCCAGGTTTCGCCCCGTGTGCGCCCGACGGCGCACAGTGGGCGTGCCGCGCGTCAACCCGCACAGCGCAGAACGCACCACACGGCTTTGCACCGACGCTGCACCGCAAATTCTCCACCCCACAGCTCGCACCACATGCAAGGTATGCACCACAGAAGGTGCACCACGTAAAGGGCACCACACAGTTCGGGCGCCAAACATTCCCTCTCCTACAAGAGATGAGACCCTTCCCCCAACCGAGCCTGCCATAAACTGTACTCCTAGGGCTGTTATTTTCATGTTTACCCAACGGGGTCTCTCATGTCCTCTCTATCAAATAGTCGTATGCTTGCTGGTCCAGGTATCGCCCCCCTCATCCCTGTCAGATACTAGCATACATTGCACATGCGTTAACCTAAGAAGGGCGGTCTCTAAGAACCCCGTGCAACACATTGCCATGCGGGGCACATGCACGCGCCTTTGCGCGCGAACCTGCCAGTCTAGAGAATACAGGTTGGCATTCCAACGATTTCAAGACATATCGATTCGGGAGGTATCAAAACACAGTAGCATGTTCACCACAGGTTGCCATGATAAGCTATTAACGGTTTTGCAGCAAGTTTGTCAATTAAGATCACGCAGTCGTCACGCGATCACATGCCGAAAACAATCAACAATCATCGCGCACCCGCCAATTATTGTTTCATACCATGCGGTTCACATGCGAGAAATCCTTGTCAAAGCAATGGTGTTCTGACTATGTCAGCACAGATGCATGTCGTCACATAAATACGAAAACTACGACTTTCGAATTACAAATCAGACATTCAGACGACTTGCGCGCACGCACGTCATCAAATTCCTCAACAGCACCGGATGAAACATCATCATCATCAGCATCACCATCACCACGATCATCATCATCATCAGCATCATCATCTTTATCATCGTCAGCATCATCATCATCATCATCATCATCATCATCATCAACTTCCCCATCACCCGCGCCATCATTGCCATCGTCATCAGACCCATCATCATACCATCACCATCCCCATCATCATAATCAGCATCATCATGAGCATCATCACCACCATCATCATCATTTTCATCTTCATCACCATCACCATCATCACCACCATCATACCATCACCATCCCCATCAACATAATCAGCATCATTATCAGCATCATCACCACCATCATCATCATCATGTTCATCTTCATTGTCATCTTCATCACCACCGCCACCATCACCATCATCACCATCACCATCATCATCACCATCACCATCACCATCACCGTCGTCGTCAGCATCACCGTCGTCGTCATCATCGTCGATACCGTCGCCCCCGTCACATTTCTGCGCGCGCACTTCCTCGTCAGTCTCCCCAGCAACATTGCCATCATCGCCAGCGTCACAGCCATCGTCACCATTGGTTTCACCAGTCGCAGCCATCCTGGCTCACGCTCTCGGGCAGCATCACTGCATCTGCCGGGCTCGCCCGCGATCTTGGCGACGGAGGCGATGTGACGTCCCGAGAGCGCGCGAGGGCCGTGGCAAGTTGGCGAGGCCGCAGTGCTGCCTGCACGCCGCGGGGCCAATGCACGGCTCGAGCAGGGCGCGGGCGGCGGGAGCAGATCTGTCTCGCTTGTCGTGCCAGCCCATGCCACGGGCCCCCCAGGGATGAGCGGGCCTCCCCGGGAGCGCAAGAAGAACGTACACGTACATGAATCCACGTGGGTTTCGAGAGTACGCATTGCGCGAACGTTCGTACCACGCGGCGGGTCTCGCGGATTGGGGGGGGCGTGTTCATGTGCGTGGTTGGGCGCGTGCGTCCCTCGTGGGCTCCTTGCATCCCTCCTCCGCGACCGCCTTCAGTGAGCTCGGGGGCGCGGGCCGGCAGTCCTCGGCCCGCAGGCCGTCGAGGGGCTCGGGGCTCGGCCTGCTGCTGGCCCCCGCATGCTCGCCGCCTGGGCGGACCGCGGCGCGGCGAGGCCGCGCGCGCAGGGCGAGCGCTGCTCCCCGCGGCGCGGCCGGGGGCGCACGGGGGCGAGGCGGGCAGTGGCAGCAGGCGCTGGCGCTGCTCGGGAGGCGGGTGGGGGTGCTGCAGCCGAGCACGAGGCCTCCAAGAGAACCCCAAGACGCTCCAAGAGTGTCCCGAGACGGTCCCACGACGGTCCAGGACGGCCCCGCGACGGCCCAGGAGGCGCCCAAGATTACCCAAGAGGCACCCAAGACGGCCCCCGGAGCGGCCCAGTACGGCCCACGACGGCCCAAGAGTCGCCTTCGCCGGCCTCCGAAGGCCCCAACACGGCCCAGAGACACCCAGGACGCCGAAGAGAGCCCCCGTAGCCCCCAAACGCCCACAAGACGACGCTGGACCCCTTCCCGCGGACCGTTCTCTCCTCCGGAGCTGCTTTGCTCTCGGTGTCCTGGGGCCTTGCGAGGGCCCCCAGGGGCTGAACATTATCAAACATGTTCTCGGGCCTCCAAGATGAAGTCAGGGTAGATGGGGTCGGAGGATTGCGCCGATGCGGCTCGATTCGGGGCCCGAGTTTCTCACGCAGACGTCGGCGAAGCACTGCCGACTCTCCCCTGCATCGCCGATACATATGGGAGGCCTCTCATGTTCCGCCTCGATTCTTTCACGACGCGAGGGGGCGTCTCCCGCCCGCCCGCCATTACGGCGCGATGTGGGTGGCGAGCGCAATTCATTTGCCACTTCGTGGCAGCTTACCGTGGACGGAGTCCACGGGTCAGCCCTAGTCAGTTACGGCGCTGGGATCAGCGCGTGGGCGAAGGGCGCGCAGTGGCAGCGGGCCCTGGCGCTGCTGAGCGAGATGCGGGAGGCGAAGCTGGAGCCCGACGTCATCTCTCCTACAATGGCTGGACCAGCGCTCGCAGAGGGCCCATCGGTGGCAGCGGACCGGCCCCCGCCTGCGGCCCCTGAGAGCCGCAGCAGGCATCGGCGCGCTTCCAAGATGGCCCAAGAGCGTTACGAGACGCACCAGGAGGCCCCCAGGAGGGCCCCCAGACGGCCGAAGACGGTCCAAGAAGGTCTCCGAGACGCGCCCAGAGCGCTCGACAACGCCTCAGACAGCCTCCAGACGGCCCAAGAGACTTCCAAAACGCTCCAAGTGTGCTCCATGACTAGACCCAAGAGAGCCCGAACAATTGCCCCACTCACTAGGGAAAACGCACATTTTCGCAGTTCCCGGGCTTGCCCTCTTCATAGCGTCCAAGACGGCCATACAGGGTCCCAAGTTGGTCCCAGGACGGCTCCTGAGGCGTCCGTGGCGGCCCACATTGGTACCCAAGACTGCCTCAAGAGCGGCCCAGGACGGCCTAAGACGACCCCCAGATGGTTCCCAGACTGCTCCAGAGACGCCCAAGACGGCACCAGACAACCCCCAGACGGCCCCGACAACGCTTCAGGCGGCCTCCAGACGGCCCAAGAGGCTACCAAAACGCTCCATGTGGGCTCCACGACGAGCCGCAAAAGAGCCCGAACACAGAAAAATCGTCCGATTCCTCCGGAAAGACGTACAGTTTCGCAGTTCCCGGGCCTGCCCTCTTCATTGCGTCCAAGACGGCCATAAACGGTCCCAAGATGGCTCCATGACGGCTCCTGAGGCGCCCTTGGCAGCCCACGGAAGACCCAAGACAGTCTCAAGAGCGGCCGAGGACAGCCCTAGACGACCTCCAGACGGTGCCCAGACTGCTCCAGAGACGCCCAAGACGGCCCCAGACAACCCCCAGACTGCCCCAGACGGCCTCCACATTGCCCAAGAGGCACCTGGGAGGCGTCCAGGAGGCCAAGAAGAAGCGCTGAGAAGCTCCTGAACGAGCTCCAGAGGCCCCAAGATCACCACGGCCCAAGAAGCACCGAAGACAGCACCAACAGCAGCCAAAGACGGCCTGAGACGGCCCGAAAAGGCGGTCCCACAACGGCTCCAAGCGCACCATGGGCCGCTCCCAAAACGTAGCCGATTCTGGGCTGGCGGGCTCGTGGCCCAGAATCGACTGGGGCCGCCGCGGAGGCGCCCGAGCCGTCCCGGGACGCGCTGGGCGGGATTCTGGGCTGGCGGCGCGGCGGCCCAGAATCGGCCCGCCGATTCTGGCCGGAAGGCTGGTGGCCCAGAGCCGCCCCGGCCGACCCCGGAAGCGCGCGCGGCCGCCCAGCCCAGAGGCTCACCAACGTTACTTTTTAACAATGGATGTTGTGCAACGTGTTCATACGCCGGTGAACTTGCAGCATGTTGATCATCCACCGGTAAAATCCACCAGTGGATGCTGACCAGCGCGGGCTAGTCCACGCCGGGCGGGATCCTGGGCCGGCGGCGCGGTGGCCCAGAATCGGTCCCGCCGATTCTGGGCTGGCGGGCTGACGGCCCAGAAACGGGTAGGCCCGCCCCGGAAGCTCGAGACCTGGCCCAAGGCGCGCTGGGCGGGATTCTTGACTGGCAGCGCGGCGGCCCAGAATTGGTCCCGCCGATTCGGGGCTGGCGGACCTGCGGCCCAGAATCGTCCTGGCCGACCCCAGAAGCGCGCGCGGCGGCCCCCAGGGTGCGCCGGGCGGGATTCTGGGCCAGCGGCGTGGCGGCCCAGAATCAGCCCCGCCGATTCTGGGCCGGCGGGCTGGGCGCCTAAAATCAGCTGGCTGGCTCCAGAGGCGCGCGTGGCTCTGGGAGCGAGGGGCAGGGCTCTGGGACGGCGGGCCAGGGGCCGGAATCGGGTTGGCTGGCCCTGGAGGCGCGAGAGGCAGCCCAGGGCGCACTGGGCGGGATTCTTGGCTGGCGGCGCGGTGGCCCAGAATCGGCACCGCCGACGTCGCCTTGAATCGGGCCAGCCTAGCCTTGCAGCCCGTGGTCGTCGCCGCCGCCACCGCCGCGCCCCCGCCGCCGCCGCCGCCGTCGTCGTCGTCGTCGTCGTCGCCGCCGCCGCCGTCGTCGTCGTCGTCGTCGTCGTCGTCGCCGTCGTCGTCGTCGTCATCGTCGTCGTCATCGTCGTCGTCGTCGTCGCCGCCGCCGCCGTCGGTGTCGTTGGGGGCTCGTTGGGGGCTCCCAAACGGGCAAGCAGTGCTACCTGGCGCCCCTGCAGCTCAGTGATACGTGGCAGGCAAATATGACGCCATTCATCCTGCTCGCATTGCGGCAGCACCCCTTCACCCCGCAAGTGAACGTAGTCTACGGGTCAGCCGGAGTCTCTCCTACATGGCTGGAAGCGCGTGCGAGAAGCCCAGGGCACGGCGCCACCACGGGGCCGAATCGTTCAGGCTGGTCCCAGAGGGGTTCCCAGACCGTCCAAGAGCGCTCCAAGACAGCATCAGTGGGTCCCGAGACGGCCCACGAGGGCCCGAAGCCATCCGGGGGGGGCTCCACGACGATCCAAGAGGCCGCAAAGACGTCCCAAGAGGGCCCGGAGCGCACGCCAAAGAGGCACAAATCATCAAATTCCACAGGAAACGTGTATTTTCAGCATGCCCGCCTTGTTTGCTCCTCCGCAGCCCAGGACACGCCAAGAGGCCTCCCGAATCGCCCCAAGAAGACGCCAGCGGCCCCTCAGAGGGCTCCAAGACGGCCCACAAGAGCCCCAAGACGACGCCAGAGAGCCCTGAAACGGCCTCACAGAACCCCAAGACGGCCCCAAGAGAGCTCCGAGGGGGCCCCAAGAAGCTCCCAAGACGGCCTCGGGCAGCCTCAAGAGAGCTCCAAGACGGTCCAAGGCCTCCCGGACGCCCCGTGACGGCGACAAATTGGCCCCAAGACGTCCCAAAACGTTCCCAGACAAGCGTCAGAATGGCCCGAAAAAGACCCCCATAAGGACCACCAAGCAGGCCCAGAGACGCCCATTAAAAGAGCGATCGGTGAAGTACAAAGCTCTTCTCACCAAGGCTCCCAAGAGCGAGACGCAGCGTAGAGAGCTCTCCCAGGCACAGCTCCCACGGCGCCCCGGGCCCCGGCGAGGCCCAGCAGACCCCGATGCGCTTCCAAGATGGGCCAAGAGCGCTCCGAGACGCCCTGGGAGGCCTCCAACAGAGCGCTCCGAGGCGCCTCCGAGACGGTCCTGTAGCGCTCGAAGGCGCTCAAGATAGCTACCACCCGGCCAAAAAGGCCCCTAAGCATTGCAAGTGTGCTCCCAGAAGGCGCCCGACCCAGCCCGCACGAGCAAAGATAATACCAAACCCTAGGGAAAACGTGCATGTTCGTACTTTCCGTGTTTTTCGTTTGCAAAGTGTCCTAGACGACAATGCAGGCCCCAAAGATCGTCCCAAGACGCCTCAGGAGGGCCCCAGCAGGCTTCCACGACGGCCCCAGGCGGCCGCTGGACGGCTCCTGTGGCGCCCATGACAGCCCAAGAAGCACCCAGGAGGCCCCCAAGAGGACCCCAAGAGGCCCCCAGGAGGCCGCAAGACGGCCCAAGAGGGCCCCAAGAGACCCCTAGGAGGCCGCAAGGCAGCCAACGAGGCCCCAACAGGCCCCCAGGAGCTCGAACAGAAACCCCGAGAGGCCCATTAAACATTCCCAAGGCGACGGCAGCGCCCGCCATCAGGCTTCGAAGAGGCAACCGGAGAAAAGTCACCAGAGCCCTCTGGGTGACTTTTTTCAAGGGCCCAGGTGCTTTCACAATGGACTAGCGGCGAGACGTACACCGCAGACCCACCATAGCCGTCTGTGACGCTCCGAAGGCTGTCTAGGCGGAGGTACAGCGGAAGGCGGACGAAGAGAAGGAAGCGGTCCAAGAGGGCCTCCGAGACGGCCCAAGACCGCTCGAATACGCTCCAGACGAGCCGCGGCAAACGAAATCATTAATTCTTCGATGGTTTCTGAAAGATTCCCAACTTCTCGCCATTTCGAGCGAGGACAGGCCCAAGACGGCCTTTTCGAGCCAAGACTGGCCCAAGATGACGTGGACGAAGTCCACGGGTTCGCCCTAGTCTCTTCTACAATGCAGCGACCTTTGCGTGCCGGAAGATCTTCTGCATTGAAATGTCCGCCGGGCCCTCCAGGGCGCCCTCCGGGGCGCAGATGCCCCAAAAACAGCTTCGGGATGGCTCCGGGAGGCTCCAGGGGGCGCCAAGACTGCCTCAGAGCAAGCACCCTTGGGAGCCCCAAGACAGCCTTAAAGGCTCCCAAGGCAGGCCAGGACGCTCCCAAGACGGCCCAGGAGGGCCTCCAGAAGAGCCAGAAGAAGCCAAAATCGCCCCAGTCCCGATGGGAAACGCACATTTTCACTACGTTCCGTTGTTTCGTCCTCGCAGCGTCCAAGACGGCTGTACAGGCCCCCCACTTACTTTGGCCCGAGACGCGCTCAGAGGCCCCCGAAGGGCACCACACGGCCCTGGGACGGCTCCAGAGGCGCCCGAGACGGCCCAGGACGCACCCGAAACAGCCCCAAGAGCAGCCCAGAATGGCCAACAGGACGGCTCCGAAAGGCTCCAGGGGGCGCCAAGACGGCGAGCACCCTTGGGAGCCCCAAGACAGCCCAGAGGCCCCCAAGGCAGGCCAGGAGGCTCCCAAGACGGCCCAGGAGGGCCTCCAGGAGAGCCCCAAGAGGCCCGAATCGTCAGTCCCGACGAGGAGCGTACATTTTCAATATATCTTTCTTTTTCGTCCTCGCACGTCCAAGTCGGCTATACAGGCCCCCAAGCTCGCCCCAAGACGCGCCCAGACGCCCCCAGGAGGGTACCCAAACGGCCCCACGCGGCCCCGGAACGGCTCCAGAGGCGCCCGAGACGTCCCAAGACGCACCCAAGACAGCCCCAAGAACAGTCAATAACGGCCCAAGACGGCCCCACCGCCCCGT